ATTTTTTCTTTTGCCTAGCCACTGGCTAAACCCAAAACGTGCAGAATAATAACACGAATTCCCTCGGAGCATGAATCAGCTGAAAGGAAGTTTAATACAACATAATAATAATAGAATAATCATGTGCTTTGAAAGAAGAAGAAGAAGCTCAGGCATATGATTTCATTTCAAAACCGTGTAATTAGTAGTGAGAGGCAAAATGACTATAAAATAAATATGAGGTTTTAAAAGTCACAATTGTTAATTTATTATTAAATTTAGGATCTACTAAGCTGCCAAAGAAACTTGTTATACATCAACATTCCATATTAAATAAATGCATCGGTGGCAAAGTAGTAGAATGCTCGCTAATCACGCCTCATGTGGTTCAGGGTTCGATCCCTAGCCGACAAACTCCTTTACTTCGCTAAGTCGGTAATAAGACAGGTGGTAAATAGGGAAGATTGGGCATGAGGGGCTAGCAACCCAATCTCGTAAAAATAAACACCAGTGCTACCGAAACTTCACACCTCCAGCTTGAAGCTCTATATTCCACTGGGAACGTAAAGGAATAAAAATATTTCACATATCACACACTGATGCAGTATTAATAATTTCATAAACTATATATATAAACAAACGAATGGGGTGGCAATGGGATCACTAATATCCCAAAAAGTAGTAGCAGGCATACGTGTGGACAGTTGGGAGATAGAACGCCGACACCTATGATCAAAGACAGCTAGTCTTTTCATGTCCTCAACTCTCATTGGCCAGGTCTCACAGCCATGAAGGAGGACAGAGCGGACTACTGAGCAGTACACACGCCCTTTGGTCGACAGTTGGATATCACGTCTACGCCAGAGACGGCGTAAACTGGCATATGCGAAACTAGCCCTGTGCCTATTCAACCATAATAGAAGAAATAGAGGGTTTCAGGGAAGAAGAGTCTTCTTTCCGACGAAATCATCAAATAGGCTGTACACATCCGTGAATATTACAACCGAAAGACATAACCTTTCCACAATTACTTTCCGTCACGCGTCAAAATACAGTAAATAATAAAACGGAATTAAGTATTTAAATCAATCTTTTCAAAAAAAGTATATGTTTATGCAGAATAAGATGAGGCCATTATTTATTTCGTTGGTTTCTTACTCTTCAGCTGCGTACAGCCTAAGAGTTAATTATATAAATCTACAGAGACATTTCAACAAAATTGTCAGGGTTACACGATTTCTAGTTAACAAAGACACAAAATTATTGAACAATGCTCAAAAGTTACTCTTGATAAGTAACCAATCAGTTGTGTAGCATTGCGGGGAGTTCAACTCAAATCATAGAGACAAAAAGGAGAAAAGAAAAAAATGAATGACGTTAGAGCGAAATTGGAGGGAGGGTTAAAGGAAAAGATTATGTAATCGGATGGGAGGAAGAAACTAGACTCTGAGTAATCAAGGCAAGGACAGACTGATACGCGGATCTTTCTGAACACATAAATCAGTTTTTAAACGTTTGATAGTGACTGCTTCAGCAAATCTGAGGAGAGTTGAATTATACTGTCTCTTAATGGTCTTGAAGGCTTTCACGGTGTCCACCTCATGACCCGTATCAACAAGATGTCTGGCAATAGCACTATTCAAAACATTTGTTCTCTTGAGACGTAAACGTTTCGGTGTATGTTCAAAAAATCTAAGATTGGCCCCTCTTTTTGCTCTCCCAATGTAACTGCTACCGTAGACACACGTAAATTTGTATACACAATCAGAGTTAACATAAGAAGGGTGTCTATTGATCTGTGACTACATCAAACAGTAAATTGTTCGGTAAACGGGAACCAACTTCGCTATAGGATACGCTCTGTCTAGGGAAGTATTCAATCTTGTGTTGATTATTTCTGTAATATTATCACCTTTACAATCGAGTTGAATAAAATCATGTTCTTTATTCACTTCGGTTTGTTTTACAGATCTTCAAACCTTCCATATTTGTTGGTAAATTTAGAAAGGTAACCATTATTTTTGAAAATCTCAAGGTTAAGAAATTCGTTTTCCAGTTTTTAAAGCCAGAAGAATTGGAGCAAATTTTTCTGGCTCTGTGAAAATGAGTTTTGAACAATGCTCGTTTGTACCTAATTGGACAAAAGCTGATGAAATTTAAGTACAGTCTACTCACTCCATATGTAGATTTTCGGTAAATGCATCTTTGCAGACTTCTATCATTCAAGCGTTGTATGGCAGGCAATGTCAAGAAAGTGGAAATTTCCATCAAGTTGTTTCTATGACTGTTACACAACTGATTAGATACACTTATTATCAACTAATCATCTCTTGTCTTGACTGCGCAACTTTATTTTCAATCTGTCTCAATATCAATTTCGTATGTTTGTAGATTGTTTAAACTTTGACCTCTTTGAATAAGTTATAGAAGAGTACCTTCTGAGCATTGTTTAATAATTTTGTGTCTCTGTTAACTAAAAATTGTGTTACCCTGGCAAGTATGTTAAAATGTTCAAGTATTGGTTTTTTGTAGGGATTTAGTTTGATTGGTTGGAGGATTTCATCACAAGCTGACATCAGTTAGAGGACTATTGGAAAACCTGGAAGTACTGGACAGTCGTTTCGTACTAGTATGGGACTCTTCATCAGTATGTTAAAATGTCTGTTTTTAGTTGTGTTTTTTTATTCCTTTACATTCCCAGTGAAACATTCGGCTTCAAGCTAGAGGCCTGAAGTTTCTGTAACAGTGGTGTTTATTTTTACGGGATTGGATTGCTAGCCCATTATGCCCAACCTTCCCTCTTTACCAATCTTTTTAGTAGCTTAGCGAGGTAGAGGAGTACGTCGGGCGGGGATCGAACCCCAAACCATATGAGGCGTGGTTGGCAAGCATTCTACCGCTGTGCAGCCGACGCAAAGAAATGTCTCTGTGCATAAACATAATTAACTTCTGGGTTGTACGCCTCTGAAAAGAAGTCAACGAAATAAATGATGGCTTCATCTTATTCTGCAGAAATATTTACTTTTCTTTAAATTCATAAAGGGGAATAAGTTTATGAGGAAATTAAGTATTACAAATAAATATGATAAGAAGAAAGTAAACATATTCAGCATATACGTAAAATTAAGTATTGAGGTTTCCACTCAGAGGGAGTGAACCGGTTATGGTAGCCATGGAGAAAGCACATTTTGTACTATACAAAGGACTAGACACACATGACACTAACTACTCACTACCTAGTGCAAAGTCAAAGTATCCAATGCAGTCCTATAAGAGGTTAATCGTGAGCCCGAATACCTCAGTGGTTAGGTCTCTCACTGAAACACTGGGTGACACGGGTTCGAATCCCAATGGGGGGGACATGAGCTCCTTCAAGAATGCAGGTACGTCTTGCTGACAGTCACCAACAGGCACACAATCTAGATCCAAGATTTCCTAGCGATTGCCTCCAACTGCCTAATTACATGTAACAGACTAACAGGAAAATATGACCCAACATTACCGTGTAGTGATAAGTTGGAACTATTTATCGAGATGTCATATTTCAAGGTTGTCTTTTGGAAAGGAATTCGTTTTGATGTGAAACAACACTAATTTCTCTAACTGATGAAGCCATGTTTTGGTTTGACCACCAGTAGCTAACTTTTTTCCAAACTAATCGATCCTTTGTCAACTAGGCTAGGCACATATCCTAGTCACTTCAATCGATGTAACTTCACAACCTCGTCAACTGACTTCGCCTCCTTACCTAGCACTCGACGCCTAACCTCAATATTACTCACCCTATTATGCCACCTGACACGGATATAATGCGCCACACAACAACAATAAACAATATTATAAAGAAAATGGAACCAGGATGAACAAAGGAGGTCATCCGGAAAACAAGAAAGCATATTTGTCAAGATCATTCAACATTCATCAACTCATCGTGTTACTTACTCTCAGAAAGGGAAGAAAGAAAGAAGTCGCAGCATGTTCGCCATTGACTGTGATTCTTCGCCGTATCTGATAACATTAAGACCCACCGATTCGAACTATCTTTCGTACCCGAACCAGAGAGTCGTGATTTACCAGCTGATGCTAACCTAACCCACACTTCATCCTACGGCACCAGGTCATAGGCTGCATCCAGTTCCAGGGCTAGAGAACAGAGACCAGTACGGAGGCCTCTGGGATACCACTCGTGGCACATGCGGAAGCCATCTAAGCCTATGTTTATGACAAGTGCACCATATCCTCCACCGTGTCTAAACATACGCTGACGGGTACGATGATGCCGTGGACGCAAGCGATTCTACGGAGACAGCGATGATCGAATATGTAGAGTCGCTACACATCCTCAGTTAAGAGAGGTCAGGTTTCACAAACGTAGAGCACGGAAAGGCTCACCAAAGCACTGTAAACCCAACGTGTCGGCTTCGAATTTCATGCCCAGATATCGTCGAAGCATCTGCACAAGAAGCCGACATGTCAACCTGAGACCAAGCACTTCGGTCCAATCAATCGACGGGAAAATCTAAAATCCAATGAAATACCCCTACTAATTGAGCCTAAGAGACGGAGTACTGTTATCATCATATTAGATATCGCTGACATTCCTATTGGCAACTATACAGAGTTTCATTTACCCTATAAATTAAAATACAACACAATCAAAAAGTATACTGTCAAGCTCCGGCTAAAGCAATCCCCACAAATTTCTCAGGGTACCTAATTTAAAATAAACACAAAAGGACCAGAAAATGATAATAACTGCACAGATATACATAATATGAACCCAGGTAGTAATAACCGCCATTACTACAAACTCAATGATCAGTGCAAAATAGCAAATAAATCAGAAAAGAGTTACACAAGGTATCATCATCAGAAGAAATAATGAATAAAAACACGCAAAAGGTTGAGTGTGACATAAACAATTTACCAAATATAGAAACACTAATTGATTATCTACAGTTAAACCTCAACAAAGAATTATTAATATATAAATATACAAATCTACATATACAGAAATTCACTTACTCAGACAACTTCTCCCTTTTTGATTCATCAAATTTAAACAGTGGCAGTGTGGAAATCAAACCCATCCGAGTGGCTATTCTCACTTGTTCCTCTTCAGTTAACTGAGACATTGGTCGTGAGACACCAGGAGTGGGATGCATAATAGGATCATTCTCCTAGTAGTAAAAGAGATATATAGGAAAATGAAGTCATCTTTTTTGAATGAAAATATTCTGCTGTTGTAACTAGAATACAAAATATATACGAGAAAAAAGTAATAATTTAACTATTCCCAGCTTCGATTACTTCACTGTTAGGCATGCCTTATGTAGCCTCCAAAGCCTCAGGATGGTCGGGGGTGGGTGTCTTGCGCTGCGGGTTGGCCAACCCTCCGCACATCTCTTCAAATGCTCCAATATGACCGGGCGTCTTACATAGCCTCTCCTGAGGAAGTCCTACTCACTGCCTTCACGTGGCGGAGGTGTTTTTCACCAAAGTGAGAGGGCGAAAGCGGATGCCCGGCGCTCTTCACCGGGTTGACTGTCCATTGGATGACAGTCTAGGGGAGATGGCTAAACCCTGATTCCAAACCTCCAACGACTGGCGTATGAAGCACTGGAGCTCACCGGCAGACGTATGGACAAAGGGATTGTTGGATGTCCTGGATGTCTGGCCCCATTCAAAAAGGCGTATGAACCGAACTCCGGTCACCGGCTGCTAAAAGAATGCCTTATGTATGCAGTGGATAAGCACAAAGATATGATATGGAATTTAACAGTAAGGCCTTAAATCCCTAAACTACGGTTTCACAACACACACACACAAATGTGTAGTGAACTTTCCAAGGTATGACAGTTTACGATGTCATACTTCATAGAAACATACAAAGACTGGAGAAAAGAAATGAAAAAATAATAATAATTACATTGAGAATCATGAAGACTTAACGAGAATATATAGCAGATCATAGAAGGTTGAAGTATCTTCACCATTGACAAGAATTTCAGCCATGTCACCAAGTGTTTATAGTCACTGTCTCTCAGCATCTTGAGTACCCTTGCAAGGCAGTATGTATCCACCTCACCATCAGGTTCAAACCACTAGTCAAGCACTTCATAGAGTGATGCTATATACTAGTCTGACAATTACCAACTTCTTTCCAACTTAAGCCTATATTATCTAATATTGCTTGTCGAGAAAAACTATGGCTCAAGATGTGTGTAACACACGACCTAGCCGTCTTAATGGATGTAGATTCACAATGTCATCGAACTCTTAACCTAACACCAAAAACGGATTTCATTATTACTCACTGTATTATGACTGAATGGCTGACTAGCTTCAACATAGAACTTTGCACAGATGTGTTTACCAATTCGAGTTACCACTCTCCCTCCAAGTAGCACACACAATGCAAGAGAAGACAGTAAGGACAGAGTCAAACGACAGTTTGAGGGGAAAACAATAGTAATATGGAAGAACAATAGAGTTTTATTCGATATGACAAATAAATCACAAAGAGTGAATGTATCTGGGCCAACCATTGAGAAGGATTTTATATATTATTATTATATTATTATTATTTCCTTTAATTCCTAGAGGAACATAGGGCTTCAGCCATGCGTCTCCATTGCGTTCGGTTCTCTGCTGTAGTTTTCACCTGGCTCCAAGTCTGCCCACACGCTTTCAATTCCTCTTCACATGATCTCCTCCAGGTCACCCTTGGACGACCAACTCGTCGCTTCCCTTTCGGGTTCCACTCGAGGGCTTGTCTAGTGATGTCACTTGCTGGTTTCCCCAGAGTGTGTCCAATCCATCTCCATTTCTTCCTGCCTATTTGTTTCACGATCGGTTCCTGGTTGGTTCGCTCCCAGAGATCTTTGTTGCTGATCCTCTCCGGCCATTTGATCTTGAGTATTGAGCGAAGGCATTTGTTAATGAAGGTCTGTAGCTTGTTTGAGCTGCTCTTTGTGACACGCCAAGTCTCTGATCCGTATAGTAGTACTGACTTCACATTGGAGTTGAAAATACGGATCTTATTTTTGACGCTGAATGCTGTTGACCTCCACATAGACTTGAGAGAAATGAAAACTTGTCTTGCTTTTCCGATTCTGGCTTTGATATCCTCGTCAGTTCCTCCTGTAGTTTATATATATATTTTATATATATATATATATATATTTTATATATTACTGTATATATATATATATATTATATATATATATATATATTACTGTATAACACTGTGAGACTCTATCAAAATAAAAATTTACCCATAATGGAATTACACTCTACCACAGTGCCCAAGTTTTATTCTTATATCAAGGATTTTCAGCCATATCAACGACTGTGTCCGGTCGGCATTGGTTCTTACCATGCCGAGGACCCTAACCAGCCGGCAGTCTACATCTCCCTACGTGGCTTAAAATAACTGCTATGGATTTCACTGGTACATTCCATATTTTCGTTTGACCGCCACCAGCTATTTCCCAACCTAATCATATGTCAGCTAACACTTCCCTCCGAGGAAGGCGACAACTAGGCTAGGCATACGTAACACATGGCGCCTAACCTCAATATTACTCACCCTATCACACCACCTATCACAGGAGATAGACGGCAGACACCTGTGATCAAAAACAACTAGCCTTTTCATGTCTACCACTCTCAATGGCCATGTCTCAAGGCCATAAACGAGGATGGAGAGAACTGCTGAGCAGTCTACTCGTCTTTTGGTCGACAGCCAGATATCACGTCTACGCCAGAGATGGAGTAAGTTGGCAAATGCCAAATGAGACTTTTTATCTGTGCTGAGTTCCCGTCAGCGATCAACACGCTGTGGCTGGCTGATGCAACTTCCCAAACAAATGAAGTGGTCAACACGCTCTGCCACTTTACTCCCTACCTTTAAGCTAGGAATCGATTAAATTAAATGGAAACGGTGACAATGGGTTTCCCTGACGAACACCACTGGATGTCATCACTCCAAATGGCAACTCTCTGTAAGCTCTTGCCTGGCTGCATGAATTCGAGTAGAGCACCTTGATCAGTGCGATGTATTCTCTCGCAATTTCCTTCATGAAGGAATCGAATGCCGCTTTCAGGGGTCAAGAAATAAGACAATTGTTGGACGCCAATAAGTATGCCTATGTTCCAGAACCTGTCGAAGGGCGAAGATATGAATAATACATCCTTTTCTTGGTCTAAAGCCTGTCTGATTTTCTCGTGTTTGTTTCTTTCGAGCATCACTTAATCTACCACCTTAATCTAACTAACCTAAACAAACTTAGGGTAAAACTCACCGTTCCCTGAGACTTGTACATAAAAATAAGTGTGGCTAAACATTCCATCATCCGCAAAATAAGGTAAGGTTGGAGGTTAGAACTCAGTTACCCGAAAGGGAATTGTCATGTACCAGGCTTTGAGGCGTATTTTCTATAAGATGTGACGACACCATTCATCTGCACATAGTGATCAGAGTGAGAAAAATCAAAACGATGGCACATATCCTAACATTTAAATGTCTGTCTTTGTAAAAAGCGACTTTTCTTATTTCCTACTGCACCATTCTTCATCGAAAAAGCAACGCCGGTGTGAAACGGTTTTCGTGATGACTCGCATAGCTTAAAGTATTGGATTACTATTACCACACACAAAATTCAACTTTGACTTAATTGGATTGTAGTTAGATAAGATTTATTACAATTAACCACAATGCGTACTATCAATATTTCGCTTTAAAAGCAAACAAAATTGGTGCGTCTAATCATTTCTTCATAGTCATGTTTAGATTTTACCGCAAAATAGAGGTTACCTGTCACATTTCCAGACTTGTTATACTGAATTATTATTTAACACTGTTTCTAAGTTGTTTATTTGTATGTACGACATAATAAAACAATCATTTAAATAGGGAATTTAGATGAAGAGTGTATTACATACACTTTTTCTCTCGTTACCTGTTTCATGTTTGCAAAGCAACATTCCGCAGTTAGACAGAAAAGAATATTATTGCACAACCCTTAAAAGGAGGCTTCATTTTGTCATTCGTGCATCCAAAATTATCGACAAATAGTAACAAACAATCACAATTCCTATATATTCAGTGGGAAGGCAGTTTAAACATCAAAAAAGTGACAGTTACTTTCCGTACGACGTGTTTTTAAGATCACCTTATTGCAACACATTGTTGACATGAGATGGACTCACAAACTTTGGATGGTAAAATTACAGTACACTTTATAAATTTCAATTAGATCTATGCTCACTAAGACAAGCAATAACTAATCACGTTTCTCTAACCTATTTAATCAGGCGGGATAGAACGGCACCCACTGTGATGAAAGCAATAAAATACACAATACAGTGATTTATTAAATAGTCCACCTCAAAAAAGTGAAACAAGCAAAAATAAAAGTCGGTAGGAACCTCAACAAAGACACTACAGTTAGATGTGTAATAAACAAAAAGAGCAACTGAACTAACGCTTTTACAGTGAGCTATCTTTAAAAACCTTGTGCGCACATCTATGTGAGACTGATGCATTTTACTGATCACCAATCGGACGAAAACTAGGAAAATAGAAGGATATTTCACATCATCTAATTGTGCACAGGCTACCTTTCCTTCCAAAAAATCCTCATTGCAGTGAACAATAGATTCTGAGGCTAACTTGACTCATAGAATTGAGAAGCATTAAAACGCCAGATGGAAGTGGTATCTGATTGAAATAATCAAACTGAATCATTGGTGTTCTATAGCCAGAGAGCTGCAAGGCTCAAAGACAAACACTGAGACTTATCCGAACTTCCTGAATCTTTAAGATTTTCTATAAAACACAACCTTGTTTTTGTCCCCGAAATGCTGAGAGGAACGATGAAATACCGAATTCCCTTCCCTTGAAACCACGAGTTCTAAGAAAAGTCACATGGATCTAAAATAATTTTGACAGAATTCTTCTGTGTATAGATAACCCTCATAGTAAGCAGTACATATTTTTCCACCGGGAAACTATAGTTTCTCCAGGCCTAGACAGTTAGCCGTGGAATTCTTATCAATAAGGCCAAACATCGGACCAATACTGAGTTGCAATTTCACTCTATGATCTCATAGGGTACACTGGTAAGAGCAAAGGACATGTGCACATTTGGGTCAGTAACTTTTACACGTCAGACCAATAAACAAAACGGTATTGAGAAGCATTTCCATTCTTGCAGCTAATCACAGAAGATGGGAATACTTAATTGTAAAACAAAGAACTTACAAAATATGGGGGTAAACGACTTCGACGTGATTCACCCTCTGTTCTACGCTGCGCATCGTTATTCCTCACATCGACTGATGATTCAATATTTCTACACCTTAGGCAGTTGCCCATATCTAGACCGTGCACTATGACATTAGGGTCGCTGCCTCGGGGATGATCCTACAGCTGTTCGTCTGACCTTGACCAGCCCAAGTGTACTTGATTGGTAATTAATTTAAAAAAAGAAACTTTGATAATCGAATCGATCTATTCACAATTTTTCTAATTATGCTCAGGTCTAAAATTTTGTTTGCCATAATGAACACAAGTCAACGCCTGAGTTTAATATGAGGTAAGAAAGGGAGTGAATTTTACACGCTCTTGTTTAGTTTTGGCTTTTGTTGTGTTATACGCTCCAAAAGTCTACAGATTAACTTTAAATCAGTTTATTCTGATCAAAGTTAGTTTACTTTTCAGATCTGAGTCTATTTAAATTATAGGAAATTGTTTTTTTATAACATAATAGTTATACATATATTTTTGTGCACTCATCGATTTTTATCGCTGACTTATAAAGGTCTATATACATCTAAGTTATATTTAAATTTCTTCGCCAGTCTGTTCTAGACAGTATGCCCATCAAAAAAACCGCTGTGGAAGGGTTATGTGCCAATTCCCAGTGGAAGAGGGAATGCAGTGTGATAACTGCAAGAGATGGTTTCACAGTATGTGCACAAACCTAACTCCTGCAGCATACAAACGCTGCTGTAAACCTCTAGAAAACTGGTTGTGCAATGACTGTTGTAGTACTACCAAACTCCGTATTACAGAAGCCATTGCCACTCTTAGCGGGGCTTTAAAGCTCATGGACTGCAAGGGTCTTCCATCACAGGAAAAGACTAACTGCTTCTCAGACACCGAAGATGTGACTAGCGTCATCGACAGAACAGTACATGTTCCTAATGAGTCTTTGTCAGTGACTGAGTGCCCTTCAGCACAGAAGAGCACTCACCACATTCCAGTCACCCAGGCTGTCCCAACGATACTGGATAAGCCCTCCAGTGACAGTAACAGAAAGACTGCCACAAAGAAGAGGCGTACCAGGGGTCGTAAACCCGCAACTCAAGTCACCCAGGTACTAGTGGATCAAGCCTCGTCCACACCGGTGAGTAGCAGGCAGATAAATCCTGCTACGACTAGTGAAGAGAGCGCCAATGAATGGCGTAACGTAGTCTCTCGCAAAAAGCGAGATAAGGACAATACATTGGCCACACTGCCCACGAAGGACAGGAAGACATTCACGCCGCAGAGCAAGACAACCACGGCAAGCAAACCTGATCTCTCTGACAGGTCGCTCATTCTCCACAAAGTGGAAGAGTCATTGGCCCCCGAACCCAAGACTAGATTTGAGCATGACCTTAACTTGGTTAAGCCCCTTTTAGACAAGCTACTGCCACAAACAGTATCAGGCGTCACTATACACAGTGTATATAGAATAGGCCAAAAGCCTGACCCTACAGTAAGTCAGCCTGTACGTCTCCTCAAAGTCGCACTAAACTCTAAAGAAGAGAGGGATGCTATTCTAAGCAACTCTCATATACTTAGAGGATCAGGCATATATGTCCGCGCCAACTTAAGCCTGGCAGACCGTATCAAAAGACAGTCTGCGGCCCTAGAATTAAGCGAACGACGCCGAAACGGCGAAAAGAACCTTAAGATTAAGGGTTTTCGGGTTGTTCAAGTTCGCAGTTTAATGATCCCGAAACCTCTGTGGGTAGGCCGGGGAAGCACCAAACTGGATTAACAGTTTGCTACACAAGCGCCCGCAGCCTGTTAAATAAACGGACTGAGCTGGTTAACATGATAGACTCCGAAAACCCAGATGTAATTATTATCACAGAGACATGGCTGACACCCGATGTCACTGACAGCGAAGTTAACCTGCCAAACTTCGAAGTGCATAGGGTAGACCGACTAAACCGCAAAGGAGGTGGCGTAGTCATTTACCTCAAGAAATGCTTAACCGTGCGTAGTATCGAAGCACTCGTTCACGAAAGTGAGTCGTGCGAACTTCTACGCTGCAGACTTAAATGCATAGGCCAAGACATTGACCTCATTGCTATGTACCGCAGTCCTAACTGCAGTGCAGATGACTTCCTGATAGAGAAGCTAGGCTCCTGGACCTCGAAATGTCGAAGTCTCGTAGTTGGCGACTTCAATGCCCCAACAGTTGTCTGGACGAGCCTAACAACTCCATCCTCAGTCAACTCCTTTGATTATAAACTGCTGGAATCTAGTATATCGCTAGCTCTAGTCCAACATATCATCAAGCCCACGCGCTATGACTCACAGCACTCCTCCTCAACTCTGGACCTAGTGTTCTCCCATGGTGAGGATGTAGATCTCATACATCTTCCTCCTTTAGGAAGAAGTGACCATGCTGTGCTCACTTTCAAGTTCACAGCAACGGCAGCAAGGGCCAAAACCCCATCTCGACCAAACGTTTGCAAAGCTGATATAAATGCAATCGTCTCAGCAGCCAACTCAGTAAACTGGTACATCAACCCAGAGTCTCAAGTAGAAGCCGCATGGAACCAATTTAAACAACTTTACGCCCAAGTAACTGAACCTTTCATCCCTTGGTCTGTCCCAAAGGGTCGGAAACACTGCCCTCCTTGGATAAACCGAGAGATTCGTAAGTTACTTAGACGTAAACACAAATGTTGGAACTTGTTTGCCACACTTGAGACTTCTGAGACCAGGCAATTATATAACACTGCTAGAAATAAAGCTATTGCAGAAATCCGCAAATCAAGGATGAAATTCGAAGCACACCTGGCTCAAAATGCAAAGGCACAACCTAAGAAAATTTTCTCATACATGAACTTCAGGAATAAAACACCCAATGGTGTCCCAAACCTGACTATTGACAATGATACAATCGAAGAAGATCAAGAAAAAGCAGAAGCAATAGCAAACTACTTCTCCCAAGTCTTCACTCAGGAGTCGTCACTGCCTACCGGATCAGCTCTGGCTGCATCAGAAGAACATGGGATAGATTCCGTTGACATCGACCAAGGCATCGTGCTCAACTGCCTAAGGAAACTAGATGCAGGGAAATCAATGGGTCCTGATAATCTTCACCCAAGGCTTCTCAAGGAGTTATCAGCACACATAGCCGGCCCTTTGGCTACGATCTTCAAGCTTTCTCTCCAAAATGGAATGTTACCGCGTGACTGGAAAGACGCCATAGTAACCCCCATCCACAAAGGAGGATCAAGGCAAAGCCCTTCAAATTACAGGCCTATCAGTCTCACCAGCACTTTAATAAAGACACTGGAGAGAATCATCAAGAAAAACATAATGGCATATCTAGAAAATAGAAGCTTATTATCAAGAGCACAGCATGGCTTCCGAAGGAACCTCTCATGCCTGTCAAATCTTCTCACTGCAAGAGAAAGCTGGGTTAAATCCAGGGAAAACAGAAGACCCGTTGACGTCGTCTTCATAGACTTCAGCAAAGCCTTTTATAAAGTACCTCACAAAAGACTACTCATGAAGTTGGAAAGTCTTAGTATCAAAGGCAGCTTACTAAACTGGCTCAGGGAATTCCTCATAGATAGGAGGCAGAGGGTTAGGATCAACTCGAGACTCTCCTCTTGGACAGCAGTGAGTAGCGGAGTGCCACAAGGCACGGTACTTGGACCTCTCCTATTTATTTTGTATATCAATGAGTTATCTCTGCTCACCGATTCCCCTATGGTCCTATACGCAGATGACTTAAAAATTTGGAGAGAGATGAAGGGCAACAGTGACACGTTCACGTTGCAAGAGGACCTCAACAAATTGTTAGAGTGGTCCATAGAATGGATGCTCCCGATAAACGTGACAAAATGTGCAACCATGCGCATTGGACAAGCAAGCACGAGCTCTTATGAACTAGAGGGAATTACACTTCCATCAGTTCAGACTTACTTGGACTTAGGTGTCATAGTTAGCCACGACTTAAAAACTACAGCACACTGTCGCGCGGTGGCTGCACGTAGTTTCAGGTCATTATGGGCAATTCGTAGAGCCTTCACTAGAATCACCAGAGATATGTTCACCTCCTTATATACATCCCTGGTGAGGTCAAGACTGGAAAACTGCATCCAGGCCGCCAGCCCTTGTCTAAAAGGGGACTCACTTATTCTAGAAAGGGTTCAAAGGAAAGCAACACGTATGATTCATGGCATGACTAACTTATCATACGAGGAAAGACTAGACAGTTTAAATCTCTTCTCCTTGTCATACCGTAGGCAGAGAGGAGATTTAATCACAATGTTTAAAATTTTAAATAATGACTACGGACCTGACCTATTTTCTCTTTTCCTTCCCACCAGGTCGGAACACCTTAGAGGACATAGCAGGAGAGTTCAAAAGCCAAGAAGAAATCATATTGCCGTTGAGTACTGGTTCTCACACAGAGTCATAAACTCTTGGAACCGACTCCCAGAAGAAGTGGTGTCTGCAACCTCAGTTGATTCGTTCAAGAAGGGTTTGGACAACCACAGAATTTTACTAGAAAAGGATTAACATAGGCTCCAAGCCTTCTATCCTCAAACAATAAATCTGAAATATAGGTGAGTGTGTGCGAAAATCCCAGGAAAAATCAGAAAATTTTCAGCGTCACCTTTTATTCAAAGGCTATATTGTCCCTCCAGCGGTAAATATTTTCATATGAATAGCTGCCAAAAAGTTCTGCCGCACTCAACATTGGTTGGTGGCCTTCACCATTTGGCTCCGCTGACTAGGTTGAGTGTACTTCAACAAGCACCCTCCCTATATCGTATGGTGTCCTGTTTGATTTTCCGACACAGCATGATCTCCAGTTATCTTGGAGCTCATTGTAATCTGGTTATCTGGCTTTTCTAGTGTGCATCAAATAAGTGTATTTGACCGGGAGAAAAATACCACATAATCCTCGTGCCACCCTTTCTCATCGTTCGTCACACCAAATTAATTTAACGCTGTAGTGTACTGGGAAACGAAGCAAAATTGCAACTGCTGCTAGGCATAAAACTAAAGTAATGTGCCTTGTATTCACAGCCTACTGAAGTCTAAAACACAATATGCAGTTCATATGGTATTTG